CAGTCTTGTCTGTCTTAAATATCAAATAGTACAGCATTACTTTGTCATACTAAGAACTTTGTATACTGTCAATAGAATTATTGTAGAAAGTGCATCAGAAATATAAATAATATTTTCCTATTTGGACAGTTATTCCCTATTATTAATTGAATAAAGGTTTTTAAAAAGGGATGCATTCTAAACGTTCACAATTTAATGTTTTCAATCATATTGATATAACAACCCCTATTTATTCACTTATTGTTTATTAAGGCAGCAGAACAAAATACCATAAAATTGTGAGAATCTTCTATATTAAGAAGTCCTAATGAACATTGTGTAAAATATAGTTTCATAACAATTTTCACCAATAGCTCTTTACCTTTAGATAACAGTTTTAAGCTAAATTTCACACCAATTAATAGCCAATTGTCATGACACTCAATCAACTAGCATTGAAGTGCTCAAGACCATATAATATGTGATCAATTATTGTCCAGTTCTTTCATATTAACATAAATAAAGTTTCATAAATGTACTTAATTATTCCTTTTATGTATCACTTCAAAAAAAAAGTGAAAAGTTGCATATGTTAAAGGTGTTGAGCAACATAAATCCATTCTAGTAGGACCCTCAAAGGAAAATTATTTTACTTAAAATAAAATTTCATGACTTCATACACAAAACTACTGAACTACTATTGAATTTAGAATTATTAAAGAAATACTAAGAGAACTGTCAACCATTCTCAAAACTTTATCATCAATGCTTTAAAAAATTACTCATTAACCTCGTTATCTCATAAGATTCTCAGGCAAAACAAATAATTCTTGCTAAAATGATCAACTATTCTTACCATAACTAAGCAAAGAGCAAAACAATACCTGCTCCAACTCTTATAGCAAAATGCTTACCTCCATACCACAACAGGTAAGCGCCTAGCGGATCGAAAACGTGCAGCTCCTTCCAGTGTCTCATCCGATACACAAGCAGGAACCAATAACCGTCTTGGGTAGGAAGGACAAAGGCGATGATCAGTATTTGCTGTGGACACTCGCCATGCACAATGCACATCAAAGCCCAGCCGCTCCAATTCAGATCGGAAAACGTCAGCCTCTTCATTGGCCCTGTGGCAGGTGGAGCCACCACCCAGCCTGGCCAAAGCCTCCTCACTCCCTTCTTCGCTCGACCATGCAAAAAATGCAAACGCAAACATCTCCTCCATTGATTGGGGAGGGGCTGTAGCTGTATGCAAGCGCCGTAACCACTCCATACACAATTCACCCGTAGAGAAAGTTAATCTAAAAGAAAGAAAAAAATCTACCATTTTAACTGTTTTACCTTTTATTTTGACTGAAAAGAATTAGTTATGTAACTATAGCAACAAAACTAACAACAATATCAGGGTTATTTAATAAGTTTTGAGTTTGTTAAAAGTGTCGGATGGTTTGGTTATCACAATTTTGCATTGCAATAAAGAATCACTATATAAAAACTATATGTTGCGAATAGCATCTAAAATTCCTAGAAGAGGCTGGCTGATGTTAATCTTTCCTTCATACAACTATTTATTTATTTATTAACAGACTGTGAAATACAAATAATATAATACAAGTAGGTACATTATTATTTCACTGAGGAATTAATCCAGTGCGCGGGCCTGTTATCAACCATTTTTTTTTACTAGAGCAACAGTTTTTTTTCAAGAGCTCATTTATAAAAGTAAAGAATTTAAAAAAAAAAATAATCGGAAAATATAATTAATAAACAAAGAAGCATATACTACAAAATAAAAAGAAAATTCGAAATACAGAAGTAAGAAAGTAGTTATCACAATATAGTTTAATTTCATAATTCTAATTGAAAAACTGAAGAAACAGCTCGACCTAACCATAATTATATTAGTTGAGTGAGCTCTGTCATTCATAATCTGATGAACACTCCTCTTCCTCGCCAAAGAAACCAGTCAATTGCCCGGGATCCATACTATTGTACAACATTCACGCATCGGACTGTCTAGTGTAGTGAACTCGGAAAAATACCAGATACCTGTGCAGGGGCAGAGTACACTGATTTGGGTACAAGCTCACGGTGGTATAGCTATGAGCTGTAAAAATTCGAAGACACGAGATTTCGAACATTTTGGTTATTTACAATAGAGAGGAAATGTTGTCTTTAAAGCATTTGCCTAAAGAGATGTCTTTGAAAACTGAAGTTTTTGCTTAAT